TTCAGGAGACTCTCACATTTCAAGATCAGTTGATTAGCAAACAATTCCTGTCATCTTAATTCTCCTTTGCCATGTAACAACATATTCACAGGTTCTGTGATTAGGAGGTAAACATCTTTAGGGGGTCATTATTCAGCCTACCACACTATTATTATTTATGTATTACAGAAACTATTGGCTTAAATGAGACTTTGACCTTCTGTGCACAAGTACAGAAGCACGGCATTTTCTAGAACTATCCTATTCTGAATTCTGTTCTTTGCTGCTTACACGTGTTTGTGTTTGCTGTTTCCTCTGAGATACCCTTCTCCTTTATCTCTACATGTCCATATTCTAGCTCATTTAAGGCCTTGCTTGAATAGTACCTACACTTTATCAGGTGGAAAAAATGAAAAGTAAACTTAGTTCAGAATAGTTCTATCTTTAGGATTCTCAGTTGGTGCCTAAAAGAATTTGTAAGGAAGCCACTGTATTAAAAATGAATTTGGGTATCTTAAAACATATTTCGAAGTACTCACACTGGATTTTTCAGACACTTCTATTTGGATCACAGAAGGAAATGAGAGGATAAAGCCAAATTCTCTAGGCACCACTGAAGAGACACAGAAGGAAGTACCTTGAAAACAAGCTTGTTTAATGGCAAAAGCAGAATCAGATACATGCTCTTAAATTCTGCCTCTTCCAGTTAGTCATGTAACACTGAGTGAATAATTTAATTATTTTAAACCTATTTCCTCATCGGTAAAACAGGATAGTGACTAGTCATAGTGCCTGACACATAATAGGCATTCAATAAAACTTTATTGCTGTGCAAAAGAAGATTCAGTGAGGTGAACTAACTTGTACAACTTTATAAATCTAGAACGAGACCCCCAAATTCTAGCATATTAAAATCATTTTGCTGTTTTAGTTCTCTGGAAATATGTAAACTATTCATGATCCTTCTGGCACATATCTATACTCAATAATCATTAGTTGCCCCTATCCTGACAGACATCACTACACTAATACAGAGCTTTGTTTTGTTCCTTGTGAATACAGCAGCATTTCTCATTTGAAATAGAGGATTTTGAAGTACTTGGTACATCAACTTACCTCGTCTGAGGAAGGCTGAATTATTCCATCTTTGACTCGGAAGGACACAAAGATCCAGAAACCAGAACAGTGCTTCTAGATCTATTGGTCTAAACTGTGCTGAGTGTCGTGAAAAAAGAAAAATAAATATCCCATTTTCCAGTTACCACACAGGAACTTGTTTCCCTGTCATTTTGGTCCACATACCCCTCTATTTTCCACAAACGGTTCTCATTTTAAAGTTGAGTTCAATACCAATTATTCTGAAAATTTGCTTATTGTGGTCAGGCAGATTGAAAAAAAATTAATTGGGATACCGGTGTAATAGGGGGCATCTGAACAGAGTGGAATGAAAACTAGAAGATATAGGTGCCCTTGTGTATCTCTTTTCCTCTCTGGACCTTTATTTTCTGACTACAGAAGGATAGTCTACAGGGTCTCTAAGACCGGTACCACCTCTAGCATTGTGTGATTCTATAAGCCTCCTGTACACACACACACATATACACACACACATTGAGGTATCAGAATATAAAGGGATGTATGGGTAGTTAAATGATAGTTTGGAGAAGAGGAAAAAATTGCAGGCAGGTACGTTTGAGCTTAGCACATCTAGTAGAGTGTGGAAGATATACAAAGAGAGAGCAGAAACACATAATAAAAGGTTTACTTTGCTAAGGATAGGGTCCAAGCAAGCCTGTATCACTAAAGCCTTTGAAGGCCAACCTCCATGTTTTATTATTGAAAACCTACCAAGAACTGAGAATGAACTAACAAGACTGCAAATGATTATATTAACCACTTTTTCCCCCATTGAAATGTATTCAGCGAACTAGGCACAAGCTTCTACCTGCTTTGCTACTGGCATGTAGGAACAAGCAGCTACAAAGAAAATAATCACCCTTTCACTCTTCTGTTAGCTTTTGTAGTTTTCATCACAAGAATAAACCATTATAAAACCTACATCTCAAAAAATGTCATATGTGTTGTTACATAAGAGTCAATAGAAGACAATATTGCCTTCTACTTACTATAAACTTTACCCAGACCAGACAATTTAAATATTGGCCTAATTTGGGCTTTACAGTTATGAACAATCAAATGGGAGGCTACCAATTATTTGCTTAAAAGTTGACTTAACAAAAGCTGATTTATATTTACCTTGATGTTTTGTCATGTATATAACTCAATCAAGTAACCAAGCTGTAAGAATCAGATCCTTAAACATGTTTTTTTCCTTTTCTGCAGAGTTCCAGAAGAAATAAGAAACAATGCTGAGTACCCCTGGGCAAAAGATAAAGGAGGTTACAGCTTGTAGAAGTAGTAATTAGAGCCAATTACAACTTGACTTACCTGCTTTGTCATTAAAATGCCTGTCAGACCTCTCATTTTTCTAAACAGAGGAAAAGAAAAGGTATAGCTTAATGGGGGAGGGCTAGCTAAAGGAAAGGGATTTCTAATTCTGTTCAAACTTACTGTGTAACCTTAGACAAACACATCGCCTTTTGGCTTCAAACTGTGGTTTTCTCACATCTAAACCGTTAAGAGCTGAAAAGGACCTCAAGAAATCACCTGGTCGGGTCTCCTGCATTCAACAAAGTAAGGTATTATTATAGTCCCATTTTCCAAATGAGACATGAAAGACTCAGATAATTTGACTATAATTTATCTTCTGCCTCCTCAATGCAATAGATTTGGTCTTTTAGCTTAACTGTCATGAGGAAAATGTAGTTATTCTCCTCACTTTTCTCATATGTGGTATACAGTTTAACACATAATAACCACAAAGCACTTTGAAAATACAAACGGAAGCTTGTGAATGTAACATTACCAACAGAGATACTAGCCCTTGGACTAGATGGGTCTCAAGAAAAAGTAACAAGAATGGATTTAGCCCTTTGAAGATTAGCTTGAGAAAGTAGAAATATACTTAGCTTAGTTAAATGGACCAAACTTACTTTCTGCAAATATGTATACAGGATAATTAGGAGTAATGAAAAACTGTGAAACAGGAACGCCACTATGGATTTACCACTAGGTTTGAGAAAGTAAACAAAGAGTAAGTAAAGTTTTGCATGTAAAGTCAGAAATCCTGAACAAAGCGGGCTCCTTGGGGAAGGGTAAAAGGAAATAAGGTTTTTCTCACAATTTAAGAAGTTCACTTCTATACAACTTCTAATGATTTTGCCTTTTGTCCTTAAAATTGTTAGCAGTCTGGTCACTGAATGCCTAATCATCTATCTTCCTGTCTGCACTCTTTCTTCACGTTACGTTCTAAACCATTCAAATTACCCCTGCCCAAATCACTATCTTTACCTGCTACTTTGAACACATCAGCTGCCTCACAATGCCTTGTTATCCTCTGTATTGAATTACCCATTCAGGATTTCAAGACCCTCCATCAATGCACTCCAATTTAGTCTCTTCCTGATCCTTCTCTACCTTTGTTCCTTTTCATACACTTTCTCCTCATATACCTGAAACAAACCCCCATCCTTGCATATGTCATCTTTCTTCACCTTTATTGAAAATCAACACATATTTGATGTGAGGTCTGCAGGAGGGGTAGCCAAGTCTAAAAGGAGATTGGCGCCAAGCTCCCCCTCCCTGTTTCTATCAGGGAGGAGAAGTGAGGGCATAATGCTCAGGAGCAGAATGTGGAAGAATGCTGCTGGGTAGAGACTGCTTGAAATATTGGGCAGTTTTGAATATTAAGAGGATCTTCAGTATTTTAGGATCCGTCTCATTCTTTCATTCCTTCAATTAAAGCTTTATCTTTATTGTTTTTAACAAAGGCCTCAGTTGATATGCTGCTTTCCTTGTCACACCTCCCTTGGTGAAGGTATGCAGTGGTCACTATCAGATCCCTAGTGAGGGGAGGAAGAGTGATTCCCATAGTTAGTGAAGTGGGCACAACATATCAGGAAGGTTATTACAAAGAGAGGGTGGCAGTGTATATGTAATGAAATTTTACGTCAGCACATACTCTTGAGGAGTAAAACTCTTCGGCAGGGGCAAGAAGGACCATTCTTTTATTAGATCCAACATGAGTGATGTGGGCAGTTTGGTTCCTGACAGATATTAAGCTTAGAAACAGTATATATTTTGGATTTTTAATTTTTATTCACTTCCATATAACAGCATATATAAAATGTTGCACAGACAAAAAAGCATTTCTGAAACTTGGTCACTCCTTTTAGATTGGCACAGATTATATACTTTTCAAAAAAATCAATGGTGGAAGAATTTTCCTCTCTTTTAAGGCTAGATTTGATTTGGAAATAGCCAAAAGTCACTGAGACTAAGTCTGGTGAAACATGGTGGGGAATAACCTGAATGTAATTGTTAGTGAAATAAGCATGTAAAAGGATGACCTATTTTACTGTTAAAACATCTCACAACATGCCACCCTCAAAGGAAAATTTTTACTGGGATATGTAACTGTTTTGAAAGTTTTGTTTAGGGTACAGAAATATGTATCTGATTTTATGATGTTAGAGGGAGAATGGGCATAGCTAAGGGAAGACTGCAAAATATTCAGCTTCTTTGGAGGCCAGGTGATGATTTCCATCAACCTGCTAGTGCTTCAGGATGATAAGCAGCTTTTGTATCAACTGTGGAGTGGTAGGTCTGCTTCACTTAAATGAGTGACACAGCTGTTGGGAAGCAAGAAATGGTGCTGGATTACACACAGACAACCAAAACTAACAAACACACATAAGCTTCCTGGTATGTAAATTATTTTTGAGGTTTGAGATCTCCATTTACAGAATGTAGTTTATAACAGATTAAAAAACCAAACTTCTTGACCTCCCAATGTTAAATAACTAAATGTGCAAAAGAACCACCATTAAATAGCACATAAAAAGCTATACATTTTCTATGAAACATTATGTGCACAGATTTTCAAAGCTGTGAAAATGCAATAAAGAGCACAACACATTTTGGTCACTTTATTAAATGACATTAAATAGTTTAAGTTTCAACTACTAAACAGCACTTTGAATGGTGAAAACACAGATAGTATTATTGTCATACTTGAATGCTTTTCTTTAAAAACACAATTCCAGTCCTTATATATATTACAAAACAGCCTTAAAGGAAGAAGTGACATCTTTTCTACAGTACTTAAGATACTCAATACGGAACTGAAAAGCAGTCTAACAGAAACAAAGGCAAGTCTTCACAGCTGTATGATTTCAGCAGCCAAAGCTGGATGATGGACTGAAACATTACTATACAACTGGGACAAAACATATACAATATCACAATACTAAGCAAAAACGCTTTACACCCGAAGAAATAAAACAGGTTACAAAATGTGGAGAATTTAGCAGGCAAAACTGTATTACAAGCAACATTTTAAATCATCATTTTTTTAAGCCATTGCAACTATTTAAAACATCTAAAACAAATATAAAAATGAGCCTTTTAGTATCTTATTGACATGACTTTATCTTTAAATATTTGTTAAAGCTTGATGTTATACTCAAAGTACATATTATGTAGCTAAAATGTCAAGTGAAGATTGTATGCAAAGTGATCCAAGTTTTATCCCAAACTATTTCCAATTAACCTTTCTATGTATTACTCTTTAAGTAATAATTTCATTTATGATTTCACTCAAGGTTTAGAAGGTTGCCTAAAATTTTGACATCTATGTCTTTGAGCAAGTAATCAGACCGTGGTGAAAGTTCCCAGGTTGAATAAATCAGGTTTAAAATATTCTGGACTTCTAGCAATACCAACTGATAACAGCTGGCCAGAGTATATTGTCTTCAAATATTTATTTCATAAATCTTGTCTTTTTCATTTCTTCTAAAGTAAAAACACATCCCCCTAGTGAAATAAGTTTGATTATATGGCTGGCATAATATCCAAATATGGGAAGGTGGAGGGTGGATCCACCAAACCTCAAAATTCTATATGACAAACTTAGTACTCTTGAATGTTCTACCACTAGTTCTTTCAAGATAAAAGTGGACATCTCTTAATCGTCCAAACAACTCAAAACAGTTTTAGCTAATGTTAAACACATTCTAACTCAGTGATACCTCAAGCAAATCCTCCACCCAGCTTTTTTTTTTTTGGAATTTGTTAGCCATTTCCACTACATGTTACATCGCCATCTCAAAAATGGTTTCGCCATGTTGAGTTGACTCTCATAGTCTAACAATCTTTTTCTTTAAGAAACTCAAGCAACCAAATTTGTACATGAATAAGCATATAGGTCATTTTTACAAGCCTGGATTAAGAAAAACAACAATGTAAAACCTCATAAAAGGGCATTAGGTGAATTTTGATTAGAAAATTGCCTCACAGATCTAAACTAAAAAAAAAAATTGAGCTTTAAAACATAATTTATGTAAGAAAATACAGTTGGGGAAAAAGAACATACTGATGAGAAAAAAGAAGAGGAAGCGCATAGAAGCCAGTGATCCTTATCTTTAGGAGGAATTACTTCACAATACTGACAGTACTGGGAATTGTTTTAAAGCATATTCCCCATGTGAACTTAAAGTCAGCAATGGTTCTGCCATTTTGATGTTGTTTATAAAACAGGGTGTGAAGCTAACAACCACAATGTCATCCTTAACTTCCTAAAATGCTAGAACTTGATTTTGTTAGTCCACATCCCACTGCCAGCAACAGGATGAAGCACTAGCACTGGCACCAAGCAGTTAAGAGATGTGCCTTATATTAGTGCCAGGAGAGAGAAAATTCAAGTGTGGAAGATAATCCACGACCCTGAAATTTTACCAGTAATTATTTCAGCACATATAACTGAAAATAAAAATGGCAGAAAAGACTAAAGAAGAAAAAGAATTCTCTTCTTATGCTGTACTTAAGGCTGTTTATACAATGCTAAGATAACTGTAAGACTCCTCCCAGTTTTAGAGCAGTAGTATTTAACAATATTGCACACAATTCTGTGTCAAAGATAACCAACCCTTAGTTTCTAACTTTCAGTCACAGAGATGATATAGCAGGAGCCCAGTTTCAGACTTCAGTCAAAAGAACATTAAAACCATTTCAATCACTTTAGTCAAGAAATGGATAAGTACAAAAGTATTCCATAACTTGAGGAATCAACTCTAAGAACTCAGCTGTGTGTTTTTATATGTAAAGAATGAATATATAAATCAGTATTCTTTCATAAATTCAATAATTTATGACAATTTTATGGTCACTAAAAGCAGGCATAAAAATTTAGAGAGGAAACCTGTGGAGTTGTTACTGTTATGGAAGGACTTGTTTTCACTGAAAACAATTTGAAAGATCTTCTGTACCAAATGTGTGTAAGAAGATTCTAGGCAACATCACTGACAAATGTCAGGAAGAAATGGTATGCCCTATTAAAAAAAATTTAAAACTAATATGGAAGATTGGCATTTAAGGGGACCAAACTATTTATACAGTTGAGTTCTGTTAAGTCATTGATTCCTAAAAAAATAAAAGATCTTTCTATGATTTTAACAATCTTTTAAGCTTTTAGTGCAAAATCACATTGATTTCCCTGGGGAGGGTCCTGGATTTTTGCTTCTCATTGGGGGTGGCGCACGTTGTAATGGTGGTGGCTGCATACCACCAGCCACGGACTGATACATTCCTCTCATATCAATCTGCTGGTAGTTAGAAGGATTCATGATTAAATTTGGAGGCTTTGGCATCATGAGGTGACCCAGTGTTGCTTGTTGATAAGTCATTTGCTGCTGCTGCTGCTGATTGTACTGTTGCTGGAGCCTTCGGTTCATAAGTATTCGTTGAACACAGCTGATTAACTAAGGAGAGAAAAGGGAGCTGTTACAAGTGCATGACCTGTCTCCAAAGAGGCAGTATCAAATTTTGAGTTAAAATCAATTTGTTAAGGGGGTACCATACCAAAAGAAAAACATATTATTGTTATCACCATTACTAATTTGATGGCATTCACAGGACCATTACTGTAGAAACCAGTTAGTAACACCATTTAGGGCTAAATTCTCTTAATGACTTGACTATTGTAGTGCAAGCAGCATTTAAGTTGGTTGCTATAGTAACCTGTCCTGCACTGTGATTAGTCTCAAGTATTAGTTACAGCACTTTTTTATCAAGTCTCTTTCTTTGTCCTTCTTTTGAATATTTCACATGATGACAGACAAATAAACACTTTTAGTGACAAACACCAAAGGGAAAAGGCACTTGCAGTGGGAGTAATTCCTACCTGCCTACCTAGAATGTCTCAGATTTCCTAAGATAATTTAAAACCACATAATTCTACACTGCTTTCTAAGTAAAATTCATGCCACAGAAATTGATTCCCTGGTGTCAAGAGTTGAAATTTCCCAGTGCAAGGTAGATGGCTGCCAAACAACCATGCTAACAAAGATAATCAAGGATTCTGGAATATGTTAGTCTTACAAAGAATTACATAATTTAGTAGGAACCTGTGTCATATATCATTTATAGCTCCACTTGTTATCTCAAATATATTAAAAAGTATACTTATTTGTGAAAGTTGTTTAAAAATAGTAAATGTGGTAAGAAAAGTCTGGCAAAAATTCCTTTTTAGATGTGCAGAATATACAAAAGTAAAATTATATGGAAGAGATGCTATGTAAACTTCAAGGAGATTCATTTGGGAAGCTGTTGCTCCTTTGCAACAAAAGACATTACCTTTATTTGACATTACTAGGTTTATGAATAAAATTTCTTCTGGGAATAACCAATGACCATCCATCCAACCACATATGGGAACAGATATCAACATAGATGTCACACAAACTCATTATTATAAATTCAAGAAAATTAAACATAACCTAGAGATACTCTGAATTCTTACCATCTGTTGTTTTGTCAACACGTCATTGTAGATTGCCTCTCTTCGTTTGACATCAAGCTCCTGGCTGGCTTGTCTACTTAATGCTAATGCCTGTACCTGGGCCTCTGAGAGGTTCATGTTTTCCTTCCACTAGAAGAAAAATTTCTATTTACTCCTTATTGCAGTAGAATTGAAGAAAATAATTTAAAATATTTATAGTCCTTAAAGATATTCAGGATTTTTAAAGTTTTCTTTCCCCCTTTTCCTTTACTCTCTTCTAAAGAAGATGATGATGTAAAAGCAAGGTACTAAACTGTCCACTGTTGTACAAGGGTTAGCTATGCCTGGAGAGAAACTATTTGGATTTAATTCATGCAACTAATAATCAAAATATGTTTATATAAACAACACATACATTTCCATGATTAACTGATTTTCCAATTCTTCGATTTTATATTTCTCTTTTGTACCAACATCTAGATAAAACTGAGATATATAGCTTGGCACTATTATATAGTCTACTAGTATTTTACTGTTGTAAATCAAGTTATAAGAATTACGGTCTTTCCCCCACAGAAGTAGTGAAGTAAAAAACAAAAGTCAGAATGAATGGTGAGAATAAGAATTGCAAGTTGGTGTACGACAATTGCCAATTAACTTACTACAGCTGAAATTATATCTTCAAGAGGCTGAATCCTCACTGCTGTCACACTGTTTGTTGCTTCCACAACTTTTTCTCTTCCTTGATTAATGAGGTCCTAGAAGAATGCAAGAAATAACCTTATCAGGGCACATAAAAGACAGCTTAGTTTTAAAAGTATAGGGAGCCTTTCTCTTGACAATCTACAGCATGTGGCCTTAAAAATCTTTAAGTAATTGAAAAGTACAGCAAAATTCAGCATCAATAAAATGGAGTAAAACTCATCAGTGAGGGTCTTGTTAGGAAGATAAAAATTGGGTTCTATTGTGCCAATAATTTAATAATTTAAATGACTCCATAAGCACATTTTAAAAAGAAAATCACAGATTCAATTACATTATTTAATTACTGGTATATTAAAACCTAGTCTTTCTTATTTAACTCATCATTGATCCTATTTTTAAATTATTTCATAATACTATACATTATCATATACTTAAAGTTGCATCTACACTACTTCAGAATGTAGATCAATGTGTGTATTTCTCCCACTTTCAAACACTAAATAATTTGTTTATTCAAAATATTTTATAACTGAAGAAAGTGCTATTTCTCTAGCCAGTCAGCTACCCTATTGTTTCTTAATTAAAATAATTCAAACTATATTAATTCAAGGCCTGATTTCTTTGTGCTCTGAACAAACCACATTTTATTATAACTACGCTGGTTCAAAAAGGTCAACAAATAAAAGAAAAATTTCTAGGTCTATTCAGAGGTAATCTTTTGGGGAATGTGATATTCCTGCATAGGAAACCCTCAACAACAAGGCACTTGAAATTGCCTTTAATTCAAGGCAAAATACTTTCGTACTTCACAACTTACCTCCAGCTGTTGATTACTCATTGCTGATAGGGCTCCCAAATTGAAAGGAATATAAGGAGTTTGAGAGTTAAAACTGACAGGGGGTAAATTGGTCCCAGTTGGTATGTTGAAACGCATGGTCAGTCCCTACAAACAAAAAATTATGCACTTTCCACATTGTGATTTAAAACTTGAAATTCTACATCACCTACTGGTTGAGAAAAAAATCCACATTCTCAGATCTAGGAAATTATTAACACTCCTTCACACACAAACAAAACACCCTTTTCATCTGAAACCAAGATCTTATTACATAGAAAGCTTTAACCCCTAAAGGTGTACTCTTTTCTGATAATTCCCACAGTATGGGGCAACTCAGAGAATTCTGATGAGACTCCTAAAATCACAATGTTAAAGAAGTTTAGTACAATGAATTAGGAGTTTAAAAAGGATTCAGGTATTAGGATAAGGTTTCCCATGCTCAGGCACATTTTTGCTCAATGAGGTGGTATTTAAAACAGAGGTGGAACTATTTTAAATAAAGTTGCTGCTGGAGATTGACATTAATGTCCAATAACAGAGTATTTTTGTGTTCTGATAATTGGTCAAAACTTTGAGTTTGGTACACATGCTAAAGCAACATTTACCCCTACCTCCAAACTCAAGTTCCTATATGTCTGCTACTACAGTAAGGGTGTTGATGGAAGTTAAGTGATGCTAAATATACAGCTTCCCACTAATCTCTCAATTTAGCAAGTGCTAATCAGAAATGAGGTTACTACTCTTTAAGGGCAAACATTTTCTTCTCTCCTCTCCTTCGAGTCTACCACCAAAGGCAGCCAAAGCCCATAAACAGACACCCAAACTTGGGGGACTCTGTTCCTGAAGATTCAGTATATTATTACCTGTTCCAAATGTGACCCTTTTCTTCCTCCACTGTTCTTTTAAATGACTAACAACAAAAACAACAACAAAAAGCATTTCAGATGAACTACCTTCTTCTCTGCTTCATATTCAGCCCAAGCTGCTTTTCTTTCTTCTTCAGTCAACTCTTCTTCTTCTTTGTGGTCCAAAAGAGAATCATGTTCATGATATCCTACAATGTGTTCTTTATGTATTTGAAGAAGTTCTGCAAGTATGGTGTCCTGTTTAGAAGGGTTGAAATAATAGTTATTTTCTCCCTCTGATCATATTTCCATAGTTCTTTGACCTACTGTTAGTCTAGAAACTCACGCTACTATACATATTTCTGATATATATGATAAATTAACTAGAAAACATTCACAATACATGCAATACCAGCCTCTTATGTAAGAATGTCATATTTATACAGCATGTTTTAGGAGTTTAATTTTTAATGGCTACTTTTCATCTTTCAAGCTCTCTTCCTCCAACATTTTTCTAATTTTTTCATATGCATTTTGTTTTGTGCTTTTTTCAGAGTTGATTAAAAAAAAGGCTAACATAAGTCTGCTAAATTCAGAGATGCTTGTGCTAAAAATCATGGCTACTCCTGTTCATACCTATTTAACACCTGTATTTATTTATTTTGCTGCACCAGGTCTCTTAGTTGCAGAATGCAGGATCTTTGATCTTCGCTGTAGCATGTGGCATCTTTATAGCTGCAGCATGAGAACTCTAAGTTGCGGCATGTGGGATCCAGTTTCCAGACCAGGGATTGAACCTGAGCCCCCTACACTGGGAGCACCAGAGTCTTAGCCACTGAACCACCACGGAAGTCCCTTAATAACTTTACTTTCATAATCCCTTTAGCTACCAACCACTATACGAACAAAAACCGAGTCTAAATTAATCAAAACAGCTACAGAACAGTTTAACTGGAACATACAGTCCTTATATTTCAATTGTAAGAAACTCAAATATAAATTACACTATAAGGACCTAGGATCAAATTTAAATTGATATACATTATTTATCATTTTATTATCAAAGTGTCTTTTTTTTTTAAGTCATGATGTCTTATGTCAGTCTTTTAAGGTTAAAAAACAAAAAGCTTAAAACTTGGAATCACTTATATACTCAGTAAGAACCCCAAACTCCTGCGCTGTATGATTATGATTATAAAAGAGACACACACAAATGGAGATCATGGAGGGTGGGGGTTAAAGTGAACCATGGATATGTCACTTGCTAACAAAAAATTTTAAATATTCAGAAGCTGTTTATTAAAATTAAAGATGAAAACCTGGATGTATAGAAGGCAAATTAATTCACTTTGCAAAAGGACTTTCCACAGCTTCTAACAGCAAGTTTCCTTAGAACACACTTTCTAAACTGAGTGAATTTAATGAAGGAATGTAAATAATGACTGGTCAAAGGAAGGCACAGGGAAGCATATAGCACATTAAATTTAACCTATATTCAATAATGCTTAATGCCTCCTTAAGTTTTAGCATAGACAAAGCCCATACTTACAAAGAATTTTGTCTTTACATCTTCAACCATATCTAGACTATACGATCCAGCACAGGGTAGGAGCTCAAATGTTTGTTATATAACTCAAGATGAAAAATTCAACTCATAAGGCCCTAAGTTTTTTTTTTTTTTCTGTACAACAGCAAATGCTGACACCAATTCCAACCATTTTGATACCTGGTATTATGTTAACAAACTTTTTATCTTGCCACATCAATAAACACTCAAAAGAATCACTTCATAATTTCATGAAAGAAAATGAATTTTTTTAATGGATACATCTGTAATTAAGATTTTACAATTAATTTTGAATGCATGTGCTATTTCTTTGGTTGAAAACACTGAAAGACCATACAAGGTTCAAGAAAGAAAGTCTACTGGTGGAATGAATATATGCTAATAGATTTAGTTCTTTATTTTTTGGTTTATTTCTTTTAAAATGTTAACTAAACATTTTTCTTCTGTACCAGTAGAGAAATCTGCCATCAAAGCTGACTTTCTCTGGCCTATGGCATACAGAACATGTTTATCACAACTAGATAGATCTCCAAAGTTCAGAGTTACTAACCAGGCAGGCAGAGAGATAGGGCAATCTGAATTAAATTTTGTTAAAAGATAATGCTTCCTTAGATGTGTGTCTCCCATGGTTACCCCACCCCACCCCAAGCATGACTCAGAAGAGAGGTATGTAATAAAACCAGATAACACTGACTAATATTTTTAGCAAGTGACCATGCCAAATATAATTAGGAAAGTCAGCTGTTCTACAAAATACCAAATAAATTACAAGACAGAAATGTCCTATGGATAATCCCAATTTTACTTCTGTCTGACAATAAGTGATGTTCTTAAAAGAACTGTAATCAAAAATCACTTCATTTCTCTAAGACAGTAACCTAAGGGAAAGAGCAGCAGAAACCGAATTTATTTTTCAGCTGTATGCTTCTCTCTGTAACAGTGGATAATAACTTAATCTAGTTATGACTGTGAGTTAAACATGGATAAAATGCTCTACAGTTACGTGTAGCAGGGTGATATAAGAATAACAGGAATAAATGAAATACCCAATTCTCTGGAAACTAACACTATGTCAATTAAGTATAGCATTTATTTCTCAATTATAAATGCCATGATTCATATAATAACTACTTTTTATGATTAGAGAAAAAGCCTTTCCAGAAATGCATGCACATACAAACACACAAACAATGCTCATATACACCCTTTTTAAAAAGTGTCTGTATCCTGATTTTCAAAGTCCAAACTTATCATCTTGAAATTGGTAGAAAATGATGTTCAGAGAGGCAAAGTAACTTTTTTTCCAATCACAGAGCTAAAGACTAGCTGGGATTAGAAGATAGATTTCCTGACTCCTATCCAGTGATCATTCTATCACACTGTAAAGAATGACTGTTTTCTTGAGGCATGGTTCCTCCATTTCCCAGATCTATTCTCTTTCAAAAAGAATTCCCTAAAGGATTCCCTAAAGGAGGAAGGAGAAACTTAGGTAGGTCTATTTTTTTCACTTTTAACACTTTTGTTCTTTTTGAAGTTTTTAAAAACAAGTATGTTAATTTTTTAATAAAAGAAAATATAAAAGCTGAAATAAAAACAATACATAGACACAAACTTATAAAAGGCCAGTTCATGCTTAGCCTGAACCTGATATGAACTATTTTACCATTTTATCTTCAGAGGTAGTCATTTTATGAAATCCCACTTCTGAAACCCTTAAATGTCTTCTCCCCACCAGATTTAAGATCTATGCTATTAAGTCAAACATGATTGCCTAATTATGGTTAGATTATGATTCGGCTTCCACCCATGCAATAACTTTCATTTTGACCCACAGTCAATTAAAATGCCAACAAATCAGAGGTAAAGTACATGTGACTTACTTTTGTATCATTAAAAACTTTTGGACCCTTTTCCTAAAACATTACCTCCCTCCTAACATCAAGCCAAATAACCATATTCCTTTTACTAGCCACAACACTCCCTTCTTTTCAGAATTTTTAAAAATTTTAATGGAAATGATGTTATAATTCCTGTTATAAAACCTAGAGATAACTACCAGTAACATTTGTGTATATCCCTCCACACATTTACATTTTACACACGTGTGTGTATATAAATTTTCACATAAAAATGGGATTGTACTATACTTTAAAACCTACTTCTCTGCCTTAATATCTTTCCATGAACATTATTTTACACAAAATACAAAACAGTCATTGGTTTTAATTGTGTATGTTATATAGATATACTTTAGCATCTATTGAATTATTCTCTTAAGAGTTTATTATGTGTTTATGCCACTTCTAGTTTTTAATTATTACCAAATCTGCAATGAAATAGGTTAATGGATAAATTTTAATGTATATCAACCACTTGTTCATACAATAATATGCTAACAATACTCAGGGACTTAGACAAGTACCTTTACCATTATTTTCATTTTAACAAAGAAAAGACTACATGTAAGCCAACTGACTTTTAAAGGAACAAGATTCATTTATACATTTCAGAAGTAGGAAAGCAGAAATCTTTCTTCGAGAGTGTTGTATAAGACACAGTAAGAGAAAAAAGATACAGGATTTCTGATACAAACTGTTTCTACAACTTTCCCATTTAAATTAATTGCAGCATACTGTCAACACAAGAAATAGATGATGAAATGAACAGGGCAAAAATATCTGCAACAGAATCCTCAGAGTATTTCTTTGGGAAAAAAATTTTTGCAAAGTCTAGTGCAAGTAATAAAAACTAATAAAGAAAAATTTTATCCCAATATACAATATGATCAGAGAGAGGTTTTTTGTTATTTCCCCCTTAAACCATGCATTTATATTAGTTGCTATAGTAACACTATTATTGAAAATAATACTGGAGCAGAATCTATAATCACTCAGCCAACAGTCATCAAAATGAGGTTTAAATTATATCCAAATGTGTACCTTTACTTTTCTTTGTCTAAACTTTGTTTCTCCTTAAATAAGTGAAAAACTTATAAGCTGGGAAAACCATGGTCTATATTCTAGCTAACAATCTAAATTAGTTTGAGCTTTAAAATGACTAGTCCAATTAATAAAAGAAAATTAATGCTAAACTACAAGTTTAAGTTAATTACTTAGAAGTTTAAAGTATTTGGCAAGCTGACAAAAATTTCCATTTAATTAATTATGAAATTCAACCTTGAAAATAAAAATTTAAAAAAACAAGCTTTGCCTAGGGGTGGAGGCAGGGGTTTGCCATGTTTCAAAATATTTCGCTTGCTATCACTTTGAATTTGAGTATTATAATATCTAGAAATATCACTAGAATACTTATGTGCCACAGGACCCACTCAAAAAGCTACGAAAAAAATTCCTTTTATTAAATAAGTATAGATTCTTAATAAAGAAACTCAATATTCCTAGTCAAAAAAATTTCTACTTTCAAATTTAAAGCCCATTTCTTCCCAAACTACTCAAGGGAAAAAAAAATGCAACATATTTGAAAATAACTAGAGAGCTACTAAATGAAGTTCACATACCACCTCATATCAGATTTGAGGTCAAGAGCACATAAACTTTGCCAAAGAGCATTTATAAATATAATCCAGATTCTCAAATTGTAGGTAAGAATAAGGTAGTGACAACTGTAGAACTTGTAACTTTCAATGAAAGAAAAGGCAGGCCTGCCAAACTGACACTTCCTTGTCCTTTTT